CTCTGTTTATCTACTCAAAGTCTTCACTGTACCCAAACAGAGCACAGAAATGTGACAACAAAGCCTGAGCCCAGCCCACCGGTAAGTACGGCCTCCCCGGGCACCAGCTTGAGTCCATCAAGAGCGTGGTGGGGGAGGCAGCAGGATGGGGTCCTGCACTGCAGGAGAGAAATCTAGGCTAAGAGGGGTCAAAAGGGGCGGGGGTGTGCAATGGGCATTTATTTGGCTCCACTGCAGTTGGAGCTACTTTCTACTAGATTCATTTTTGAGGCTCAAGAATCCCTGGCAAAGGGGCATGGTGGTGCACACCTTTAATGCCAGCATACTGGGAGGCTGAGCCAGGAGGATCACTGAGTTCAAGCCCAGCTTGGGCAATTTAACAGCTTAGTGAGACCCTGTCTCAACATTGTTTTAAATTTTTAAAAAATGTCTTAAAGAAGACCCATAGGTCACCATGATCACTCATTTTATGCAATGTTGGTGGAACTCCTACACCCACTCCACTTTGAAGAACTTGTATCCTGCCACAAGACAAGCTGGAAATTCTTAGTAAAATGGGTCACAGGGGTCCTCAAGAGCCCTTTCCAGGACAGGGCCACAGGTTAAGGGACTCTGAACAGACCCTCCCTGAATCGCCCAATCCCTGGGCCACAACAGCAATCAGTCAACACACAGGCAGCTGGGAGCAGCGGCAAGAGCCCTGAAGGTGCGGGTGGGTTAAGTTCCAGTTCTCCACTTCCTCAGTGGTAGCCTTTAGACCTCTACTTCTCACCTGTAAAATGGGTTCAATACAGTGTTTTACAAATTAAAGTACCAGAAACACCAGGTAGCATTGGCATTTTTCTACTCTCCATTCCTTCCCCTTCCCAGACTTCTCTCCCTACTCTCCTGTTGGCTCTTCTACAAGTCCTGGCAGCCCAGTCGGCTTATCTCTCTGATAGCTTAGCATTATTCCCTGTCAGCAGGCCTCTTCCTTCTCCTAAAACAGAGATGGGAAACACATTTCACTGTGTTCTGGAGTCAGCAGGGAGTAATGCCGTGCGTGACAAAGGATCTCAGCCAGGTATCAGGAAGGTACTAATGTCTCTCTGGCCATCTCACCACCAGCACTACATGGAGGATGAGCTGCCACTGTACCACCCCGAGCCCAGGGCACAAGGCCTTTCCCACACTAGTGAGTGGCTGATGTGCTCTGCCACGGGAGGAGATCGCCCATAGTCCACACGCAGGATGCCGGGAGCCTTCTTCAAGCTTCCACCTTGGCCTCTCATCCCTACCCTGGATTCTTTTTTTTTTCCATTCCGCACCCTTGCTGAAGCTCAGTTTACTCAGTCATCACTGAGCAAGTCACAGGACCGCCCCAAACCAAAGGCCACAACACCAGTTTTCAGAGTGATGGTTTCCACTCAAGATTCTGTAAGGTGGAAGGACTACAGCCTATAAATACTCTCATCCACCGGTCACGGGTACTCCACTTCAGGGGCAGTGGGAGCTCGTCTCCGAGACAGCTGCCGTTAATTCCTCTTTCCCTCTACATCCTCACCACTCCTCCATTAAAAAGGGGAGCTTGGGTTTCCGCTACCTTAAGTCTGTGCTGACTTGTGACGGCACGGATCAGTAAAATACAGCAAAAGTGAGGCCATGTGTTTCCACAGCTATTTTCCCAGCATTTAAGAGGGCTGAGAGTGCCTGCATCCTGACTCCTGGATCCCGGAGCTGTCAGGTAACAAATCCCTGCCGCTGTGCTGTAGAGAAGCCGTGTAGGAGAGGTCTGAGTCAGGTACCTGGTGCGGAGGAGTAGCCATCATAGACTTCCAGCCCAGGCGAGTCCTTCGAAGACTCTAGCCCCAGCCACCACCTGATGGCAGTCATGAGGGACCCTAAGTGAAACCACCGGGCCAGGCCCAACCAACCCATAGAACTGTCAGAGACAATAACACTTTACTGTTCCAAGCTGCTGTTGTGGTCTGTTACATAGCAGTTAATAGGTGAAACACCCCTCATGGTCAATTCTCAACACAGGGGCAAGAGTACTCTTTTAAACACACTCATCATGTCATGTCATTCTCCCATTTGCAACCCTCAAATGGGGCTGGGCGTAGCTTGTGGTGGAGTGTGGACAAGGCTCTGGGATCACCCCTAACGTGGAAAAATCAAACAAATAAATAAGAGCCCTCCAATGGACTTTCACCTTTTCTGTAAATGTTTATGTGTGTATGTATGGCTTGATGTACAAACAAATATTTATGTATATTATGTATCAGTGAAGCTCTGTATATATACATACATAAACACATGAACATATATAGTAGTGCATATATATGTCTATGTAAATACAGTGGCATGTGTGATACTAGTGACTCTTCCTGGCACATGGAAACGCTCATTTATATATCTATATTTATCTATATCTGTATCTCTACATACATATACACACAAAACTTTACCAAGATATAATATATATTCCATAAAATATACAACTCATGCTTTTAAAGTGTATAGTTCAATGAATTTTAATATATTCAGAGCTGTGCAACCATTACCCCCAACAATTTTAGAACAGAAAGAAACTTTATGTCTATTAGCAGTCACTCTCCATTCACCTGCAATACCCTCAGCCTCTTGCACCTACTAATCTACTTTGGGCCCACACAGAGTTGCCTACTTTGGTCATTTCACATAAATGGGAACCACAAAACATGTAGCCTTTGTGTCTGGATTCTTTCACAGAGCATGTTTCTAAGATCTACCCATGCCACAGCATGTACCAGTGCTTTATTTCTTTTTACAGCCAAATTCTATTCCACTGACGTGATTTTATCACATTCTTTTTGCCTACTCATTAGCTGATGGAGCCAGGCGTGTTGGCACATGCCTATAATCCCTGTACTCAGGAGGCTGAGGCAGGAGGACTGATGCAAGTTTGAGGTCAGCCTGGGCTACAAAGTGAGTCCAAGGCCAGCCTGAACTGCCTAGCAAAACCCTGTCTCTGGGGGAAAAAAAAAGCTGATAGACACTGAACGTTTCTGCTCTTGTCTATTCTGAATAATGCTGCTATGCACATGCACATACACGTTTCTGTGTGGTTGTGTGTCTTTATTTCCTCTGGTAGACAGGTAGAAGCAGAGCTTCTGGGTCACGTGGTACTCTTATGTTTAGCCTTTTAAGGAACTGCCAGTCTATTCTCCAAAGTGGCTGTGCCAGTTTACATCCCGACCAGCGGTGTATGAGGTTTTCATTTTTCTACGCACTTAACAACCCGTGCTAGTCTCTATGTCATTTATTACAGCCACATCCTAGTGTGTGAAGTGGTGCTCACTGTGGCTTTGATTTCCAGCTCCCTCATGGCTAATGGTGTGGAGCATCTCCCCTTCTGCTCACTGGCTATTTGTCTATCTTTGAAGGCCTGTTGGTCACATCCTTTGCCCATTCTCTAAATTGGTTATTTGGATTTTTATTTTTGAGTTGCAAGACTTCTTTGTATATTCTCACACAAGTTTCTCATCTCAAAATATAACTTGCAGGTATCTTCTCTCCCTCCAGTAGACTGCTACCACATGCAGAATAGATCCCAGATTCTTTCCTAACGCTGGGCGACCACCCGACTTTGCCCTCTTCTGCCACCTCACTCCCTGCTTGCTGCCATGCTGTTCTCTGTGCTGTTCCTTGAACATGTTGGGCTCAACCTGGTCTTGGGGTTCCTGCACAAGCTTTTTCCGTCCACGAGTCCCCCCACCAGGCAATCCCCCCACCAGCTCACCCCCTGACCTTCCTGCTCAGATGTCACCTTCTCAAAGAGCCCTTCTTCCCTGACCATTTTATCCAGAATATCACTTTTCTCTCTATCATTTTCTACCCTTCAGTCTGTTTTACTTTATCTTTCTTAGTAGCACTTATTATAACTCGCTATATCATGTACCTGTGGGTCCACCCTATCTCCCAGTTACAATCTCAGCTCCGTGAAGGCCAGGAATGCTGCCTGTCTCATTTGTTATTATATCTTACATGTCCAGACAGCATCAGGCACATTGCAGAAACTCAATAAATATTTATTAAATATCATTACTTCTATGTCCTGAATGCTTACGATGAGCTGAACACCCACAAAGCATTTCAAATAAAATACTTTGGTTAATTCCTAAAGCAACCCTATGAGATAAATACTAATATTGTTCTCCTTTTCCAAGAGCGGAGCAAATCCAAATAAAGCAAGCTCAGATAGCTTCTCCTTTGTCCCACAGATGGGAAGTGGCAGAGTCAAGAGTTAAATGCAGGCCGTCTGAGCTCTGAAGGACAGGTTGTACCACGTCTGCTCCACCGTGTCCCTTTCCTTCTGAGCCTCGGTTTCCTCATTTACGGCACAAGAGTAGGAAGGAAGACTGACAGACCGGCCAAACACGATCATGGAAAGCAGGGAGAACAGGGCCTGGCCCTCTGACAAACAGTAAGTGTGAGCTACCATGGCGAGGACAGTAATTACAATGATAAGATGATGCGGGTGTGGGGAAATCCATGCTTTGGAATCAAGTAAAACTATACCATTGGTAGTTGATAGTGACTGTTCAAATACATATTTTACTTAGATTATGTCTTTTAAAGGATGGCTCAGCCCTCAGAAAGGGAGGAGCAGACTACTGTGCTCACATGACAGTTTCAGTATTTCATCAAGGGGCTGCTAGAGGCTTCCTGACCATTCACTGGACTTCCTAAGGTCTCAGCAAGCGGGTAGAAGATGCCTCAGTGAAGGCAGGATCTCGGCGGCTTGTTGTAGTAGCGATCTTGGCCCGATCCAGGATGGCTGTTCTTATGGGGCAGTGTCACACTTACAAATTCTGACCCACAGGCAAGTCACCACATGTGACGGAAGCCCATCCCTACGCACAACACCCAAATCAATGACCGGATATCGTGTTTGCTAAGCAGAGGACGCCACCCAGGTACTTCACATCCACGCGCTGTCACACTGGAAAACCTGGAAAAGAGGAAGCGAAGGAACTCACCAGTGTGGGTCTGCCTGTGTGTCTCCAGGGCATCCTCCTTCGAGAACTGTGCACCACACTGGTCACACACGAAGGCTTTGGCACCCGCTGAAAGAAAGGAGAGGCGGTTACCACTAGATCCACAGTCTATGTGGACGGGGGAAGCCTAGGTCAAAACTGTACAGGTGGATGCTAGGGGAGGAGCTAGATGCCTGTGAAGCTTCCGAGGCAGGGATAATCCATGCGACCAGCCCAGACTCATTGCAGAAAGTGGCTACCCGCAAAAATGAGTTCCAAATGCCCTCACCAAGGGCTTTCCCGTAGAAAAAAGGAACAAAATCAGCACGACTAAGATAAATGAAGATGAAGTCCAGGTGAGACACCCTCCAAGGAGAAGGGTCATTCTGAAGGGACAGCACCACGTGAAGGAGGGACAGGAATAAATGATACCAGCAAGTAGAAATATGCCCTGCTTCCATATCCTCTGTGGGGAAATAGGCAGTGCTGATATACTAGTACACTGTACCCGCACTTGGCTGTCCACAGGGGCCTCTGACTCAGTGTCCAATATTAACTCATCATCTACTCTTGAGGGATTCCCCAGCTGGAGGGTGGGAGCCTGAACTCTTTCCTGGGACTCACAAAGCTCCTTTTGGTGGGCAGCTTTCCTGCTCCATCTCCCAGCCCGCATCCCTGCTCTCTGTTCTCTGCTACACTGGGTGACACTGCCCCAGCCCGCACACTCTTCCACACATCCTCTGCCTCTGAGCCCCACCTCTGGCCCCTGTGGTGGGGCTGGAGCTCCCATTCATCCTTTACGGTTCATCTCTGACACCTGCTTCCTTACTTCCGGATTGGGGCCCTTCTTTCTGTTCTCACAGCATTCTGTGTAGCATTCCCAATCATGGTCCTTACCAGGCTCCATTCTAAATGCCTGTGGACCTGTCCCTCGCCCGGCACGCTGTAAGCCCTCTGTCCTTCTGCACACACCTGCACCTGCCTGTACGTGGCAGGAACCTGTGACTCTGCATATGCACAAGCGAAATCAATTTGATACAACTTAATTCTGACACAACTTAGAATCGGTATTTACCAAGCTCAACGTGACATCGTCACCACATTAAGCTGAAACAGTGCTTTTTACCAGTAACAAAGCCCTCAAGGCTCTTACATGTTATCTCATCCAGGAGTCACCTGTTTGAAGCCGCAGCACTTTTTCTTCAAGATGTCCTCCAGACATAGCTCTTCCACGCCCGTAGACAGTTCCTGTCCCTCCAGGCCCCTCCTGCATGAAGCCCAGCACACTGAAGCACTCACAATGATTTCCTCACCACCAGCCACCCTCTGACCTACCCGACAAATGTAGGTTCCTTCACGGCCACTAGATTTTGCCCACATCCTTACTCACGAAGATACAGTGGCTCAAAATCTGCACTAATTCTGACTTCCTCTACATGGCTTCCAAACCTTCCACAACCTGCCCCGGGGAGCTTGCACTCCCGAGGCAGGTTGTTCTCATCACCCCTCTGGGTACTATTCAGTGCTCCCTGAGTATCTGTGCTTGAGCAACACCCATCTCATTCCTCGGTCTCTCCCAGTCCTGTTCCTCCATCTCTCCCAGTTCCTGTTACACAGTCAACACCAGAGACTGCGCACATTGAGCACTCCAGCGCCTAGCCGCTCTGCTCTTTCCGATCGGCAACTGCTGTTTTGTTACTTTCAACGTGCTGGGGCGCTTCCTTACATGCGCCTGTGTGGTTCAGTTAGGCAGTGGCACCTCGTAAGGGTCAGAACGACTTTTTGCACAGAGTTGTAGCTGCGAATGCTGCTTTCAAACCACCTCAGATCTCCTGAGGCGTTACTGTATGCTAGGCACGATGCTAAGTGCTTACTACACATTTCCTGTACTTCTAACAGCAGTTGTTTGAAATACATACAGTCTTTACACCCACTTAGCAGGTGAGTGAAGGCCTGGCTCAGAGGGGACAAGCACTTGCCCAGTGTCCCACACTGGTTAATAGTAGAGATGGATTCAAACCCAGGTAGCCTGACTCCAGAGTCTTTGCTTTTAATTCCTATACCTTCAGCCTCCTTGGGGTTCCCTCTGCAAAGCTGCTTTATGGGGAACAAGATGGGGTCTGACTTCCTTTCTGTCAATACAAAAAAAAAAATGAAAATCGAGCTTACGTAGTTTGTACATCAGGGCTTTATGTTTTGGAAAAATGGTTCCAGGTACTTTTTAAAAAGTTTCCCAGCACTAAGGAGGCTGAGGTAAGAGGACTGCTGTGAGTTCCAGGGCAGCCTGTGCTACATAGTGAGTTCAAAGGCAGCATTAACTACACATTGAGACCCTGTCTTTAAAAAAAAGCAGGTGTGGTGGCTCATACCTGTAATCCAGCACTTGGGAGGCTGAGGCAGGAGGATCACTGCAAATTCAAGGCCAGCTGGGCTAGTAGTGAGCTCAAGGCTAGCCTAGACTACATAGTGAAACCCTGTCTCCAAAAAAAATTGAAGTATTAACATAATCAAGGAATATAACTCAAAATACAAAGACTTAAACACCAAAAACCAGGTCTTGCTATCGAAGAATACACAGACTCTGCAGTAGGAGGCCATCAACCTAATCTGTCTCATTGACACTCTTATTACAAATGGTGACCAGGGTATATACTATAGGTCCTCAATGAATAAAAGCTCACAGGCTGACTAAAGGACTGATAAAGTACTCCAGGGAAGATATGAAACCATTTTTCCTAAAAAGAGTTAAAAATAAGTATTGTCACTTGTCTGGGTTGGCTGGGGTTGCATGTCACTTGGAGGCAGGAAGAATCCCATGATGACCTCTGGGTGTCCCTTAAAGCTGCAGGATATCCTGAGGCCAAGCACCTGGTACGCGGTTTACAGAGCTTTGAACAAAAGCCAAGAAAATTCCTATTAGGGATGATGGCAAACCAGTGTCTGTGTTCGCAGAGCGGCAGCTAGGATGACTTTTCATCCTTGTCCACTAGAAATGCAGAAGTAGCTCCAAAAACAGGACAGGCCAGGACAAGGAAGCCGGGACCGGATGAAGCCACAGCTCCCTGACACTGAGCAACTCCCCCTAGTCCCAAATCATTAGCCATCAACGATTTTCTGTGGATCTGTAAGGGATCTGATTTTAATTGCATTTCTTTCTTTGGTCCTTCTCCGTTCTCACGGCTCCCTCCAGAAAACTGGGAGGGGAGGGTGCCTTTCGGGCCCGGCCAGCACGCTGGAGGTCTGCGATCAGTGAGAAGCCCCACAGCGCTGCAGACTTCAAAGGGATGTGGTGCGGGGGGCTCTCAGAAACTGTCATCGTGTGGGCTGTAGTAGCGTCTCACTTTAATGACTGAGAAGCAGAGAGAAAGGGCAGGTACCAAAGAAAGGGCGGATGTGTACCACCAGGCGAGTTCAGATGAAGATAAAAACAGATGAGCACACAAGACCTAGCAAAGGCTGCAGGCTTGCCCGAAGCCTGACCACATCTGGTTGCCTCCCCACTCCGCCCCACTCCACCCCACTCAGTGAAGTCACGAAATTGAGCTCAGTGTGTGAAAGTCGCTGTCCGCAGGGACTCTGCGGGTCAAGCTCCTCATTACACACTGAGGCCGCAGACACTGGCCCCCACCGCTGGCCCCCATACATGAAGCCCAGCACTCCTCCCATCATCTCCCAGAGAGACTCTGACCCCCCGCACCAGCTCCCCAGGGGGAGTGAAAGAGCAAAGCCAGGCGGTTCCACGGATGCACCAGCCAAGCAGAGTGTGCCAGACGAAATCCGCCCTCCCGAGGAGGCTTGTGCCTTTAAATTGTTTCTGTAATGGCTGGCTCAGAGGCAGAAATATTTGGCAGCCCTGAAATTAAAAGTGATAAATTTCCTCGCCAAGCTTTGATCGATAATAGAGGCCTCATCTGTTAATCAATAAGACAGTCTCTGCCTGTTTACTGTGCATATGTTGTTTGCTGCTGCCTTCAGTATGATGTCAGGTTTGCATTCAAAGCAACTGAAGTGTGTATAACCCACATGGCTATTCCCAAAATGCATTACGGTGACATCATTCAGCCCCAATACATTTATAAAGCATCAATGGAGGGGTGGGGGTGGGGAGGCGGCCATGCCAGCTGAGCACGACAGGTGCATGTGGACCGAGCAGAAGCATTTACCCCCACAGAGTTTCCTGGGGCTCATCCTGGACTGCGGAGAATCCCCGCGACACAGCTCAGAGTAGGCCCCATCTTTTCTGCACATGGCAGCTGTGTTTTGGATGCCCACTGAGTGTCTGCCGGGAGGAAGGCCACTGTACATAAACAGAAGAGAAAACTTCTGCCCTCATGGGGCTTACATGCAAGAGGAGAAGGAAGATTTTTTTTAAAGTGGGTTAAGCCAGGTGTGGTGGTGCATGCCTGTAATCCCAGCACTCAGGAGGCTGAGGCAGGACGATTGTAAGTTTGAGGCCAGCCTGGGCTCCAAAGTAAGCTCAAGGCCAACTTGAACTGCATAGCGAGACTCTGTCTCAAAAAGACAAAAATAAAAAGACAAAAATAAATAAATAAATAAGAGTGGGTTAATATAAAACAGGCCAGGTGGTGACAAGTGATGAAAAGAAAGAAACTGAGTAAAGATGGGTACAGCACCAGAGGCTGCCATTTTCTGGACAGAGACAGGGGCGGGGGTTAAGAAGCAAGGCCAAGACCTGGGACTCGCCACTTCAGGCACAGCTGGGAATGAAGAGGCCAGCTGAGGACAGAACAGAGCTGGTGAGAGCAAGGTGGGCAGACGGTGCAGAAGCAGGTAGACTGTGGAAAGGAAATTACATAGCGGGGGCAAACGGCAGGAAGATGAAGTGAGCTAGCCCCATGCAATCCTTACTATCAATCACAGCATCCGGTGAACAAGAAAGAGAAACAGGATCTACAGCAGGGAGAACTGGGCCCCGAACACTGCCCACTGCTGTAGACAGCACGCAAGTCATCACAGCTTGATGAACCTGATCCCCAACCTGCACACCGGAGGTGGACCATGGCTACCTGCTCTACCAAGGCTGCGGTGAGGCAGGTAGGAGATAAATAAACATGAGTATAGAGCTCCTC